TCTCTCTCTCTCTCTTCCCCCTTCCTTCTTTCTCCCTTCTCGTTCTGTGTCCAGTCTCTATTTTTCTACTCTGTCTCCCCTCTCATCCCTTCATAGAAGGAAAACAATCACTCGACTTCCTCCCTCGTAACGTATGCTCTCCGTTTGGTTTTCCTGATTTCATTTCATTTGAAAGTACTCATTATTAGAAAAAAGGATCTGTTGATGGATCAGAAACAGCACGTGAGTCAAAGCGCTTGCCTTTCTTACTACAAGAAACTTTTTTTTTTACCCCAAAAATTAACACAAAACCCCAGTGCGTTAGTGTGCGCACAACATAAACCAAAGACAGAAAACAGATCAGATCACGTCATGTCCTCCCTCTGTACAAGGCTTTTGCAACACATTTACAACATGGCTCATGTACACAGTGGAGGCCATGCATTCATAATATCATTACTCATATTTGCTGGCATATTTTAAAAAAAAATATACATGGAGATGAAAGTAAAAAGACATGGAAAAAAAATCACTTCAAAGCATTGTATGTGAAGGTAACCATGGAACCAGTCAAAGTCAATACTATCATCGCTTGACAAGCTTTAAAAAATGCATCAAAATCGTTCAGCCAATATTCATTGAAGCAAATGAACAAGAGACAAAACGCATAATGGCCGCCCAGAAAACAGCTGCATGGCTAGAGACACAAAAGAAATGTACAACAAAATGTCCACAATGAGTCGTCTGTACACCAGTGGTTCTGACACGAGCTCAGGCAAGGCAACAATCAAGATACATCATCATCAACGACGACGACGTATTCTTCTCTCAACAATCCAGATATATCATCAACGACGACGACGACGTATTCTTCTCTCGTTCTCTCTCCGATCCACTCCTGGCACACGCCCCACAAACACTGCATGAGCCCACGGAACGCTTTCACTAAGTTGGGTTTTTTTTCTCTTTCTTTAAAAGAACTTTGATGAGGGTTTTTAAAAATAAGATCTAAATCATTACAGTAATTAAACGCCTTGGGCTCTCACACTGCCTAGGGTCATTTATCAAATATTTCATCCAGAAAAATTAAAAAGCGTATATCCATTAAACAATTTTTTTTTCAGATTATCAGATTTCCTAAACATAGTCCTGTCTTTAAGTAGATTGTATGAAAGTTCAGCTGAGCTGAAGACTTCAGGTAGAGCTAAACTTTTATCAAAATGCTCGAAATAACGCGAGAATGGGGCATTATTGTGGCGCCGCGTAGGCGCTAACTTAACGTTCAGTGACGGGCGATGCTTCTTTCTCTCTCTTTCTTTCTTTCTCTCTCTCTCTTTCTCTCTCTCTCTCTCAATCTCTCACTTTCTCTAACTTGTCCTCAACTTACTTACTCACGCGCCTAAAAATGTACACTCCTATGTTCCCATCCGCATCTCACTGGGTCCTGATACACACATACACACACACACGCACACACACACACACACACACAGCACATTCGTACGTCCAATCAACCGCGCCTTTCATTCGTCTGAGGTATAAAATATTGACTTGACAAGTTCACCAAAATCCACCTTGGAATAACGTGGTGCTACGAGCTCTCCTGGAGACGAGGAGGCCTGGGAGGGGAGAGAGAGACATTGCTGATGGGCGACCACCGTGGGGACATAGCGCCTTGACGACATCGCTAGACCGACAAACGGCCCGTCAGCCAAGGCCCCTCAATGAAGCACACTCTTCACAACGCAATAGCACAGCTGCAGGAAGCTAAGGCATCGCTTCGAGAAATATAATGGACGCAGATGGCGGGCGACGTTTTGACTAAGACAACAAGGCATCATGTTAAGACGCACACGGCGACGTTTTGACTAAGACAACAAGGCATCATGTCAAGACGCACACGGCGACGTTTTGACTAAGACAACAAGGCATCATGTTAAGACGCACACGGCAACATTTTGACCAAAACGACAAGGCATCATGTCAAGACGCACATGGCGACATTTTGACCAAGACGACAAGTAGCCATATTGTCATCCTGTTGCCCTCGAGACTTTCCCTTGTTAGGAATTGGTCCGAGCTGATTCAGAGATAGAGGGCGCGCCTTCCTATCCAAAGACTACGTATCGCCCCACAGCGTCTCTCCTCAATCAACTATCGTGTTCCAAAAGTGACTAGTGATGCAAGGCGTGAAATTCTCCACCCTGGCTTTTATATCGTAGCTGTAATTCTGGTACTGCGCTCGCTAAAACAAAGATCAAGTCTCGTTCTTATTTAGATTCTAAACCCCCAAAAAACCCAACTTCACTCACATTTGTCTAAGCATACTAGTGTGACATAATTCGCTCATAATAGCTCTTAGGCATAGGAGTTGTAAATAATAATTTCATGTACGTAGTAAGCCGCATGAAAGTTGACATTACAATTTATCCTGCTTTATCGGGACAGACGTGTCCGTTCGGAATTTCACTTCCTGCATAGCCAGGCAATTTCGGTTTAACATGGACCCGACTAGACTGTTGGCAAGCACCCTGGGAAAAACGTGGTGTGTGTATGTGTGTGTGTGTGTGTGTGTGTGTGTGTGTGTGTGTGTGTGTGTGTGTGT